TTGCTTGTTTCGTGTCGTCTTTTTTCTCTATTTATCAATTTATTTCGTTTGTATCTTAAGAGAATGTCAGTGAGCCCGTAATGTAATAGTTATATGTCAGTTCTTTCATTTTTTTTGTCATTAAAAAGGCAAGAAAAACATTAGGAATATATGAAATGAAACAAGTACAGGTAGATTGTTTCATCTAAGAATGAAAAAAGTCCATTAAAACTGTATGATATACTCTAATATCTATTAATAATAAAAAAAATAATAATAATAATCTAAAAGAGAGAAAGAAAGAAAGAAAACAGTTTCTTACCTCCACCGATACCACCACCACTACCTCCTCCGATTCCATTTCCTCCTCCGCCTCCAATTCCTCCTCCGCCGCCTCCAATTCCTCCTCCGCCGCCGCCAATTCCTCCTCCGCCGCCTCCGATTCCTCCTCCGCCGCCGCCAATTCCTCCGCCACCTCCAATTCCTCCTCCACCGCCTCCAATTCCTCCTCCACCGCCTCCAATTCCTCCTCCACCGCCACCGATTCCTCCGCCGCCTCCGATTCCTCCACCACCGCCTCCAGTTCCTCCTCCGCCGCCTCCAATTCCTCCTCCTCCTCCACCACTTCCTCCGCCAAGGCAGTCTCTCTCAAAAAAGATGGTGCCTGGCCGGTTCTGTTTAGCAGCTTCACCACCGCCGGAAACTGCATGGAACGTTTATGGGGTTAAAAAACGTTTCATACTTTCATCATTCATCTATAATTTACCCATTCACCCGATTATATAATTACCAGTCCCTTTAAATATCTATTAATTTAGCTACTTATCTATTTATTAACCTATCTATGCATTTATCAACATATTTACTTTTATCTTCATTAATTGATTAATTTCGTCAATTATCTTTTTCAATAACTCTCATTCCAAGGATATATCATATTTCTACTAATTCTGTCTGTATTTAATTCCGTATCTTTCCTCTGAAGGTTCAAATGCTACCATAATCCTTTAAACACGCACAGACATACAAATGCATTCTCAAACATAAGCAATAAGACACACGCAAACACACACACAGGCAACTGCAAAAACAAAATCAACAAATAGAATACTTCTAAATCATTCCGTCCCCATTAAAAATAAGTAAATGAATAGATGAATAAAATAATCTATTCATTTACTTAATTTATTCAGGTACTTAAAGATAAGTAAATAAATGCATAAATACATCAGATCATGAAAAATGAATTGCAAACGAACTTACTTGTATCATCTCCAGAGAGGAAGCACTGAGAACCGGTTGGCCTGAAGGCAAGAGAGCGGCAGTTGAAAGACCTGTAATTTGTACATTCTCTCTGGCACTGTAATTCCGACACTACATTCTCAACAGTGACGTCCAGGTATGTTGGGTAGGCACTGTCAGTACGTTGGTAGGGGCAGGTATCATCCACTGTGAAAAAAGAGGTAGATGTGATTAGACTAGGATTTTGCATTTTTTTTTTTTTTTGGTTTTGCCTGTGGTTAGTATTCTTAACATAATTGTAGTGTTCTCGTCATTTCTGCTTATACATATATATGTTGTTGGGTTTAAGAGTATCACTGGTATGGTTAATATTAATAATCTGATATTTTTTGTTATTTTCATCATTGTCTTTATCATTGCCACCACCCTCATCACCATCACGGCCATCACTATCGCCATTATCATCACCAATACCACCATCTCACGCCATCACTATCATCATCACCACCACCTATATCACCATCACCCACCCCCATCACCACAATCACCATCCTCATCCTCCATCTACTCACCTGGGACGCACTGGTTCTCGAGGTATTCCACCGTCGGCGACACAGAATCCACGAAATCCAATGGGGACGACCTCCTGTCTCTTCTGCTCAGGCGACAGGTGAGTTCCGTGCTGTCGTACTCCGCGGATCGGCACTGGAAGGCGGTCTCTTGCAGGCAGCGCTGAAGGAGGGTGGAGACTGTTAGTGTTTTTTCTTCTTTTTTATCGAGTAATGAGGAAAAAAAGGGTTGAAAGGAGAGGTGTAGTTTGTGATATATATATATATATATATATATATATATATATATATATATATATATAGAGAGAGAGAGAGAGAGAGAGAGAGAGAGAGAGAGAGAGAAGGAGAGGGGAGGGCACTAGTTACTTTGGAAAGGGGAAGGAGGGAAAGGGAGGATGGAAGGTTGTGTTAGAGATGGAGAAGATCTATCTAATTTCTTAACAAAACCTAGTAAAATGAATTGGAACATAATAAGAGGGGAACAATAAATAGTGACATTACAGTCCATGTGGTTTCAGCACCTGATGAGGAAAAAAACTCGACCGAAACGTCAGGACATATTACTGTTTAAGTTATCGCATCTTACCTAAATCGTCTTGGTATATTTTTAAGAAAAGAAAAATAGGAAGAGAAGGAGGGAGAAAGTAAGAAGTGAAAGAAGGTTAGTCCTTATTCAAAAAAACATTAATCGTTCCTTTCTTTGCATAGAATACGTTTTATTTCATTTGTAGAGGTATATATTTTATATGAATGGAGAAGAAAAGGAAGAAGTATAAGAGGAAACTGGTGAATTGGAAGAAGGGAAGAAGAGAAACTACAAGAGGTAGAAAACCTGGAGGAAGAAAAAATATAATGATAGAAAGTGAGCGAAAGGGAAGAGGGGAAGAGGGAAATAAAAGACAAAAGAATAGAAAAAGGAAATTAAGGGATTAATGTTAACAGATTACCTCCAATTATCGAATTACAAACTGAAGTCTCTTACATCATTTATCTTTATTCCTATTTATTTTTTATTTTCTATTTTTTTTTTATTATTTTTTTTTTTGCCAAACATTGGTCCTCTTCTCTTTCCTTTTCTTTGTTTTTACTCTATTATTGTCCTCTTCATCTTTCCCTCTTTTCCCTCTTCCTCTTTTTTTTTCCTTTTCGTCTTTCCTTTCATCTTTCTACCCCCCCTTTCCCCTACCCCTCTCCGCCCTTACTCTTCCCCTCTCCCTCTTCCCCCTTCCCCCCCCCCCATCCCCTTACTCTACCTCCCCTAACAAAACAAACTAACCGAAAAAAGATAAACGTATATATTAAAAAAAAAAAAAACACTAATAATAAAATAAAATAAAGATAAACGTATATATTAAAAAAAAATAATAATAAATTTTAAAAGATAAACATATATTAAAAAAAACAATAATAATACAATAAAAAGAATAAATGTATACATTAAAAAAACAATAATAATACAATAAAAAAGACAGAAATAAATAAAAAACCCAAGACTCACCTCAATACAATCCCTACGACTCTGGATGAGATTGTAAACCTGATCGTCCAATCCTCGCAGCTCTTTCCCAATCACTCGCTCGAACTGCCACGTGCGGCCTCGGCACTGACCGGGCAGGGTCGCTGGAAGAACGCAGAACATGAGAGAACACAAAACATAACGTGGGAAATGAACGTGAAATAAAGAACATGAGAGAACACAAAAGATAACGTGGGAAATGAACGTGAAATAAAGGAAGAAGATAACGTAGAACATGAGAGAACACAAAAGATAACGTGGGAAATGAACGTGAAATAAGGAACAGATGAACAAAATGTATTACGTGGCTGATGAACATGAAGTAAAGAACGGAAGAACAAAATGTACAACGTGGTAGATGAATGTGAAATAAAAAACAGAAAAGAGATAACGTAGCTGAAGAATGTGGAAGATGAACAGAATAGAACAAAATAGATGAAATGGCAGATGGACGTTAAATATAGAATTGTAGAATATTATAGAATGTGGATGAAAAAAACAGAAGAGAAAGAAATGAAGAACACTAGAGAACAGAATGAATAACACGGTAGATGAACAGAAAATGTAGAAATATAGAATGATATGGGAAATGTAGAAAGAACAGCAGAGAACAAAATTTATAACACACTACATGAACATGAAATATAGAATGCTGTAGAATGAGGCAGATAAATAAAGAACATTTAGGAAATAATGTTTTTAACAAAAGAACAGGTAAAGAACACAGCTGGTGAACGTAGAATACAAAAATATAGAATAATGTTAAAAGATGGAAGAAAAGAACAGAACAAAATACTTAACAAAATGACAATTAAGAACACGGTAAATGAACGTGAAATATATAACACGTGAAGAATAATATATAATATATTAAAAAAGACAAAGCTAAGCAAAAAAAGCACCAGAGAACACCAGAAAACCAAATAACTACCCCCCCCCAAAAAAAAAAAAATCTCTATCTCCAACGTCCATGACAGACAGACCTCCATAAACAAAAATATATTTAAAGATAAAAAACAAAATTCACAAGCGGCTTGTTTATTAAAATTGTGCGAGGCCCGACCCAAAGAATATTCGTATACTTGACATACATAAATAAAGAAATAAAGGCATATTTATCACTCTAGACATGCATATCAACCCGGCAAATAGATGGTTAAATATATATCTATCAGATATATAGACAGATATGCCTTTATTTCTGTATCTGCATTTATGAAAACTCATTGGGTCGGGCCTGGCACATTTCAACAAACCGGCTGAAGGAGTCAAAGCCTCACCTCTCACGCAGATCTTCTCGAAATAACTCTTCCCCGGCGATTCGACAATGTCTTGAACTCGACCTTGAGTGTTTCGGTCGAGTTTGAAGCAGCGGGTGTTGATGTAGTCGACAGCGAAGGCGGGGCACTCACCCGAGTCGTCCATGCATTGCCGTGCGCATTTCTGGGGGAAGGATGCGGGGGTTAGAGAAGGTGGATGGGTGAGAAGGTGTGATAAAGGATGGAAGAAAGGGGTGAAGGGAGAAAGGAGGACGTGGTAGATGAACCACGGAAGAAGAAGGGAGAGTTAGAGTTGGGAGATGGGTGGGAGAAGTGATAAAGGAAGGGAGAAGGGGGACCTTTGGAATCGTCCTTGCATTGCCGTGCGCATTTCTGGGGGGAATGCGAAGGTTAGAGAGGGCGAATGGGTGAGAAGGTGTGATAAAGGAAGGAAGAAAGAGGTGAAGGGAGTATGGAGGAAGTTTGGGTAGGAGGGTGGGAGAAGTGGTAACGGAAGGGAAGAGGAGGAAATTTGGCTAAGAGGAGAGAGAGAGAAGGGGAGAAGTGGTAAAGAGCAGAATGAAGGGGGAGAAGGAAAATTTGATAAAGAGGAGGGGTGGGAATGGGTGGAAGGATGGGAAAAGTGGTAAAGAAAGAAAGGAGAAGGGAAATTTGGTAAAGAAGAGGGACTGTTGCGAATGGGGGGGTTAGAGAGGGGGAAGGGCGTGAAGTAGTGAAGGAATGTAGAAGAGAGAGAGAGATGGAAAATTTGATAAAGATTGAGAGGGGAAATGCGAGAAATAAAATATAAAAGTATCATTAGGTATTTCAAACTTGAAAACAACCTGCGTGTTTTTTTCTTTCTTTCTTTCTTTCTTTTTAAGATCTAAAAATCCTTTTGGAATCAGTCTATTCATATCAAGACCGCCCACGTGTGACGTCACAAGGCCCGTCTGTTTTGTGAGATTGAAACGCCTCTAATATCACAGAAAACAAATGAATATTAAAATTTAAACAAATAAAATTAAACAAAATTTAAATAAATAAAATTGAACATAAAATTTAAGCAAATAAAATTAAACATAAAATTTGAACAAATAAAATTAAACATAAAATTTAAACAAATGAAATTAAACATAAAATTTAAACAAATAAAATCAAACATAAAATGTACACAAATAAAATCAAACATAAAATTAAGACAAGTAAAGTTCTCATTTTGTTCATTATTACTCGAAAACACCACATTTCTCGATCACATATACCTATCAAATCTGAAAATCAATATGAAAAAGCAAAGCGAAACTGAAATATCGGAAACCCTTCAGAAGTGATACTCGACTCCGACAAAAATTTGACGGAAAATGGACAGAATTTTAACAATGGATTCTTTGACCCCGCCTGACCTCTGAAATGCCTCCTGGAGATGTATCCAGGTTGTAGAGCGATTCTCTGGCTGTCCTCACGGTCTGACCTGTGATCTTCTCGTAGATGATCGTTCCCTGGTCGCGCTCGCACTGACCTGGTGGGAAATGAGGTCAGGTCAGAGGTGAAGGATCAAGGAGTATGCATTAAATCATTCTTAAATTATCTTTATTGTTGTTTTAGTTCATTTAATCTCGATATAAGTCTTTTGATTTTGTTTGCATTAAATCATTCTTAAATTATCTTCATTGTTAGTTTAATTTAGTTTATTTTGATATGTTGATTTTGTTTGTCTTCTTAAATTATATGTTCTTATTTTTGTTAATTTTTTTATATGTCTTTTGATTTCGATTGTATTATTACCTATCAATAAATTATATCACTGTTGTATTGTATTACATTTCACAATTATTAGCCCGCTTTAATATGTCTTTATTTCTACAAGTGTAAGTAGTGTGTATGTGCTTGTTTGCGTCTTTGTGACAGTGTGTGTGTGTGTGTGTGAGTGAGTGAGTGAGTGAGTGAGTGAGTGAGTGAGTGAGTGAGTGAGAGTGAGAGTGAGAGTGAGAGTGAGAGTGAGAGTGAGAGTGAGAGTGAGTGAGTGAATGAGTGAGTGAGTGAGTGAGTGAGAGAGTGTGTGAGTGAGTGAGTGAGTGAGTGAGTGAGTGAGTGAGTGAGTGAGTGAGAGTGAGAGTGAGTGTGTGTGTGTACTACATACAAGTACACCCATCTGCGTGTATATGCTGCATCTACGTAACCTTATCCTCGTGTACAATTACTTACTGACTGTACACTGCTTCTCCCCTGTTACAACTCCAGCCTTGATGGGTAGTACAGTCTTGTTGAGTGACACAGAATCATCACCAGAGAGATAACACCTTTGGAGAAAATATTGACTGTTATCAAAGAGTGAAGAACATATATGTATAACTTTTCACATCTGGTTCTTTACCTGTACGGAATAATCGTACGGTTTCTAAAAAAAAGAAAATAGTCACATATATGTATATCTTTTCACATCCCGTTCCTTAATTGCACGGAGTAGTCACATGGTTTCTAAAAAAGAAAAAAATAGTTATCAATTTCCTGCAAGGCAAACTCACATTTTCTCATTCACTCACTCATACGAATCGGTTATTTGATCGGTCGAAAAATATTAGTTCAGTCAGTTATTCAGCTTCTCATTCACTAGATAAGTCAATCATTAAAAAAGCTCTATCACCCATTCGTTCACTTACCCACTCATTCACACTTACTCAATTCACTTATTCTCTCATACACCTCACATACTTACTCACATACTCATCCATATCACACACACTTGCTACATATCACACTCACTCACTTACACACTCAACTCAACTCAACTCAACTCAACTCAACCTAACCCAACTCAAGGGGGCCGTCGCGCTCGTGAACGAAGTTCGTCAGTTATGATCGGATATTCGTGATTTTTTAATGTTATACATACACATGCAGTGATAAACACCACCAAGTTTCATAACAATTG